AAAAAAAAAAAAAAAAGATTGTCTTAGAATATGGTGGCCCAACGCACACAGAAGAGGATGGCTGTGCATCCAAGTGAGACTGATATTTTTTTCTCAGGAGCAGAAATCTTAATGTAGGAGATGGCCACTCACTGAGTAGTTGAAGCATGCCCTGATGGAACTCTCTCGGGGTCGCATTGCACACTGTCTCCCTGAGTTGCATAAAGCACAGAACAGCATGCCTGCACTCCAGCTTCTAGTGTGTACCAACTCAGCAGAAAACACATCCCTATCTATTTTGTTTCAAAAATACTTTGTTTGCCATAAAAAAAGTGAATTAATATAGTAGAAACCCAAGGACTGCCTAGGGGTAGGTAGCAGGTCTGTCATCACCAGAAGTATTTAAATGCTGGCTAGATGAATACTCTGTGGAAATGGTTCACTCTTTGTGAAAGGGGTAAAATAAATCTTTTTCTTGGGCACTGACAGATCTAGCGAAGATCCTACCATACAATAGATAAACAGCAACTTCTGTTTACTAAATAAACTTTATTTTCACAGATTACAGGTGAAGCAAAATATTGATATAACATTAAGGTATCACAAGACCACTTATGTTCTCTACGGGGTTTCAATTAAGAAATTATATGAAAAATAAGTCCATGAAAGGAATTCTGATGCTCTTAATTAGCATCTGAACTGCTCTGATGGGCTTAAGCCATTGTGAAAGTCCTAGCTTGGTTCCTACCCAGAGTCTCTTCTCCTGAATCCTATGCTTAAAAGTCAAACCGATAAAGCATCACTATGTCAAACACAAACTTCAACACTCTTAACATGTAGGTGTAAATCTCATCTGAAAATCATTGAAAGGTCAGGTCATCTACAAGAAATCTGTCCTTTGCATTTTAGTATCAGTAAATTAAAAGGAAAGCAGTAAAAGAATAAGAGAAAGCCATTTAATTATTTTTGTAGGCAAGAACATAACATTGGTTTATCAGTTACATAGTATTTTTCATGCTTCATCCATGCCAGGTACTTAATTTTTAACCAACTCGAACACATTACAAGTGGAGAAATAGCTAAAAACATGGAAAACATATACATAACTCGTTAAAGGGTAGAGAACATGCCCAGTTCATATACATTGCTTAATCCAGCATTCCAATCTCAGTAAGGCACCACAATCCACCCAGCTATAAAATCCAAGATCAGGAAGTCATCTATCCCTTCCCCACACCATCCCACCAGCAAGCCTCTCTTACCTCTTAAACCTCTATCAGATCCATCTGAGGTCCCATCTCTACTGTCTCTATGCTTCAGGCCACCAGTGCTTTTCCAATTTTTCATAAACTAGCCTTCTAACTGATCTTCTTCCAAACAGAAGGCCAATCATTATTTCCTTCTACCAGGTCAATTTACTACTACGGGGAAAAATAGTCCATAACATTCAAATCTCACCACAGTACTTCTGGACCCAACACTTTTTACAGCTTTCCAGAGCTCTTACAAGCCTACTCTAGCCCTCGCCTACTTCATCATTCCTGCCAGTCCCCTCATTCAGTGTCTTTTCTTCTTCCAAACACACTGTACTTCTCCCACTTCCCTGGACACATCCACCTTTTCAACCTCAGCTTCTGTACCTGCTGTTCTCTGAAGGATTGTTTTTCTTCCTGTCACCATTCTTCAGATATTAGTTCAAATATCACTTCCACAGGATGCCTTCCTTGACCTGCATCCCGACATCCTCCATTCCTCTCCCATACCCAAAGGCCAAACTTGACTTCATAAGTTCTTGTCATACTTGACTTCGAGCAGTTAACACTGATATAAGTGAGCTTTTCATGGCTGGATGAGTCTCTTTCAATGTGATATATACTCTCTGATATTGGCAACTGTCTATCTTTGCAATACAAGTAAGCTTGGTTGTAAAGACAGAATCTTCACAAGCAGATAATTGGATATTTATGGAATAAATAAAAATGTGTAAATGTAAAAAAAATCATGGGAATGGTAAATTTGGTAGTGAAAAACCGTCTCTTTTAAAAAGAGGCTAAATCTGATACAGAACTGTACTTAGAAAAAATAAATTGTAAAACCTTAATAAGCTTTTGAACACAGAAATGGCTCTTGGAAAACTTATTTTTATGATTTAAATACAAATCAAATCCAGAGAAACACAAGTTAAGCCTCCTTTAAGTTACTCTTGGTTTACAACTTTTAAGTTGAGTGTTTTAACCAAATACATATAGATTTAACTGACCAAATCACAGAAAACCTGTTTGAGATGTTAAACCATTATAAAACAATCCACTGAACCAACAATTAAAAGCTCTAAAGTGAAAGATAAAATAGCCTAAAAAATCTATTTTCTGTATCACAGAGGAAAATATAGAAGCCTCTTCAGAAATAAAACTAAGTTAGAATATTATATCTAAATGTATCTGCCAGGTATGAATCTAAATTCTAGTTATCATACAAAGCACTTTTTTGTGCTATCATTAATAGCACTTATTAATCGACATTTACAGTTAGTAATGTATCCTTAATCAATCAGGCTTTCATCTTGTATAAAAGATACTAAGAATTTTTCACTCACAATGCTAGCATTTTCTTTGTTAAAAATTTAATCTTTGAAAAGAAAAGAATGGTCAATGGTTCACCTTGTGTTTCAGAATACCCACCTTATCTTCCGGGTATCTCTTTTATTTCTAAAAATATATGTACCTCTATTAAAAGAAAGTTAAAATTTTGATTGTGTGTATTTAGAGAAGTGCTTTGTTGTTGTTTTTAACATTAAAGTACCAGGGTAAAATAACTTCCCCCGAAACAGTAAAAATGGTTCTTTTTGTGAGTGTGATATATAATCAATTATTATCAAGTAGGTGCATTGCACATACACACATCAAGCAAGATTTATAGCCTGCAGGTTTCTGGTTTTGAATCAGTTTTAAAACCAAGAAGTCATGGAATGAAGGGAAGTTAAATTATATATAAACAAACACTTCTATTAACTCATACCACTAGTGAAACAAAACTCTAAATAAGTAGAGAAAATGAGTTCACACACTGAAGCTCTGAAATGTTCTGGGTCTTTTATCTGTGCGTTTATTTTTCCTATTGAATTTAAAGTTCAAACCAAAATCCACTAATAATGTTTAGAATTATTAAATGCCACAGTATGACAGCTTTTAGTGCAACCAGGCATTAAGAAGCATTTTCTTTTCTCTTTAAGATGAGCCAACTTTTATTTTAGAATTTCTGTAATTCAACATTCTTTCCCACCAAAGCACCTAAATCTTTTTCATGTAGCTGCAAATGACTACATGACAGATATGCCAAAGTTGTTAGTTTATGTCCACTTCCTTTACTGAATGTGTAGTGAAAGGCCTTAGTTTTCAATTTACATGTGGTTCTTCTCCAAGATCTTAAAAAAATCTCATGTTTATATTAGAAATCAACATGCAAGTTCAGGCCCGGTGGCTTATGCCTGTAATCCCAGTACTTTGGGAGGCTGAGGGAGGCCAATCACCTGAGGTCAGAAGTTCGAGACCAGCCTGACCAACATGGCGAAACCCTGTCTATACTAAAAATACAAAAATTAGCCAGATGTGGTGGTGGGTGTCTGTAATCCCAGCTACTCAGGAGGCTGAGGCAGGAGAATTGCTTGAATCCGGGAGGCGGAGGTTGCTCTGTGCCAAGATTGCACCACTGTACTCCATCCTGGGTGACAGGTCATCCACAAGAAATCTGTCAAAAAAAATCTCTCAAAAAAAAAAAAAAAGAAATCAACATGCAATAGTCAGTGAGCACCAACCATGCAATGCAATTGTACTAGGTACAAGAGATAGAAAAAAAATATTGAGGTGGGAGAAACATGTTAACAGATAAATTGCAGCAGACAGACTTGACACATGGGGGTAAAAGTGATTAGGAACAGAAGGCCTAATTCTTTCTAGAAAAGGTAGTGTTTGAGATGGGTCTCAACAGAAGAGTAAATGTTCTTTGCTGGGGGAAAGGGATGCAGACACAACAAAAAGAACCCAGGCAGCAGCAGAGGCAGTAAAGAATTACTCAGTGTGGCAGTGATGTGGGAGATAGAGACAAGAGCCAAGACTAGCAATTTGGTTTGGAAGCAGATGAGGGGCTTTGTAAAACAAGTCAAGGAGTTTGGATTTTTCTTTTTGTAGACAACAGGGAGCCAAAAGATGTTATTAGGCAGGCAAACAATGAGAGCAGCTTTAGGTTTTGAGGATAATGCCTCTGGCAGCAGGGTGGAAGATTAACAGCAGTAGGGAGAAACTGGTGGCAGAAAATTAAGAGGTGTTTATGACTCAATGAGGTCCTTAGGTCAGGAGTGATTAAACAGCCCATGTCAGTGACTGAAGCATGGTTTTGGGGAGAGCCTGGTGACTGATGGACGTGGGGGTGAGAGAGACATGCATTAGGACAGCCAGTAGTAATGTTCCTGGCTTAGTAGGTTGTGTGCCTGGCAATCACCTTCCAGAAGAGATGGAGATTACTTTCATTTTTACAAGTACTTGCAGGATGAGGGAATCGTACAGTGATCAGGATGACAAAAGGTTACAACTTCAGATAAGTCATAAGTGAAAATATAGAGCTGGAGTTGCCAGTTTGTAGGTTAGAGGACAGGTCAGAAAATGCACAGGGCATTCTGCAGGAACAGAACTCACTCCCATGTATAAGATTGCAAAGGTTGCTGCAGAGAACAGGCATTGGGTACCTGGCCACTGGCACCAATGGGATGCTTACAATCTGTCCACTGATTTAAGAATTTTAGGCAGGGTACGGCTCACACCTGTAATCCCAGCACTTTGGGAGGCCGAGATGGGCAGATCACGAGGTCAGATTGAGACCATCTTGGCTAACACGGTGAAACCCTGTCTCTACTGAAAATACAAAAAATTAGCCGGGTGTAGTGGCGGGCACCTGTAGTCCCAGCTACTCGGTAGGCTGAGGCAGGAGAATGGCCTGAACCTGGGAGGCGGAGCTTGCAGTGAGCTGAAGTCACGCCACACTCCAGCCTGGGCGACAGAGCGAGACTCCATCTCAAAAAAAAAAAAAAAAA